AGAAGAATGGGTGGTCATGGTTGGCTATACTCGTATAGGCTTAAACAAGTCATGTCCATGATATCCGCCCCCTGGTTCTCCTAATTGCTTCGAGTTGAGATGTCCGAGCTCGAGTGAAGACTATGCAGTCGCTTGCTTCGGAAGAATGTTACCTTAGCCGCCTTTCGGTTTTCGATCGAGGTAACCATTGCTCTTAGTTAGTTTTTTTCTTTTTTCTTTTTTTTTTACCTCTACTTTTTGCCTAGGACGTATCCTAGCGAGGGATATAGACCCTATCTTTTGCCCGGGGATGCCCTTTGCGGGTTTTCATTCTCGACGGGTCTTGAGCAATGTCTTCAAGCATAATACTTCTTTACCGTACCGAAGTTGATTAGGTGTCGAAGTTCTTTTCCATCCATATTGGCGAGGATAAGAGCCCCTTCCGAGAAAGCTCATTTGACCACAAAGGGTCCTTCATAGTTTGTTGCCCATTTTCCAATTTTATTCTTCTAGGTCGGAAGCAACTTATTTACCATTAAATTTTTCTTATGGTAAATATGAGGGTTGACTTTTTTCGTAAGCCTTTTTTATCTTCCTTTGATAGGCTTGCTCACGACATATAACATTCAGCCTTTTTTCTTCCATAAGGCTTAACTGGTTATATCGGCTTTGAACCCGTTCAACTTCGTTAATTTAGCTTCCATCATCTTGTGCTTTTGTCAACATGATTAGCTATACCGATTCTGTTGTCTCGGATCTTTGTTATAACCGAAGAGTAATCATTTTGAATGTAGAGCAAGCGCCATGTTAATGCCCTTCTTCCTTTCCTTTAGGGATTTCAATCCTCCTATTGATCACTATATTTCCACATTTCCCGAGTCAATTACTTGAATGCTTTATAGTGAAATGGTCAAGAGAAGAGAAAGAAAAGGATTTATAACAAAGGCTTGTGTTTTAGAGGGATATATTTTTTATAATAGAGGTTTTTGTAAGAATGGCTAGCCAAGGCTGGTTGGTGTTTAGGCTAGTTTAGACAAATGTCTTGTTCTTATGAGGTGGCATTTTCGAGATGATTACTTTATGGCGCCTATTTGTGATCGATTAACTTTCCTAGTCCGCCCTTTTGGGTTTTCGAGCCTAGGATTTTGCCCTTTTATCTTTTTGTCTTGGCCTTTGACCTTGACATGCTTCTTTTAATAATAATTTCTTTTCTTAAAACATTGTCGAAACACGATTTTGTAATTCGTGTCTCTAGCTAATCAATCATATTAACTTTGGCTTCATTTTGTCTATGTATTGTGGAACAAAATGTTTGTCTAAACATGGTTATTTATGGGGTATAGATATGATTAGCGAGAAAAGAAGCGAGATAGTAAGAATAGCATTCTTTTGTAATTCAAAGGGAAATGCGTGCTCTAAAGATGCTTGGGGATCGGGCAAACCCCGAGGAGTGATCTCTAATAGTCATTGGGTTTACATCCCTTAAAATCGGAAGAAGGACGTCTAATGACTAATGCTACCCTTGATGCTAATATCCCTCCTTTTTGGAAGATCATCTTTTTAAGGTACGGAGGGAGACTTTCCTTTTCATCGTACGACTTGTTCTTTTGTAGGGTTGTTCTTTAAAGGGTTATCCTTAAAATCTGGTGGCTCTCTTATTCCTTGAGCATCCTTTCCAAGCCCTTGTACTGGACCTGTATCCATATCTCTTCATTATATGGGCCACTTTTAAGCCGCTAGGAAGTTTTTCCCTATTTTCAAATGTCTTCTTTGGTCGCATCCTTTTAAGGTATGGTGGACGACTCACCGATTCAAATGTAGTCTTTAGCTTGAACCATGATCAACTTGTCGCCTACCACAAAATTGATTTTTCGGTGGAGCGTTGGAGAAACTGCCCTAGCACCGTTAATCCAAGGTCTACTTAATCTTCCCCTTGGATTTTTTCTTCCTCTTTGGTTTCTTTATTTTTCCTTTGTTTTTAGGAGCATTATCTTGTAGCTCCTTGGATGAATACAATTTTTTTGCTTATCGTCCGCGCCCCAATGTCGGCTATATTGGAGATATCTTCATTAACGGACAATTCTTTTGTGCATATCCACGAGTACAGCTTTATCTCATGTATAAGCGCAAAGGTGTTATTGCCCCTTCCACGACATGATCAACTTGGGTATCGACATTTACTTCTTTCTTATTGTCTCTTTCTCTTTGTCCCAAATTGGAGGCCTTAATTTTTTCGTGATGGGGCTGTATCAATTAAGCTTATTTTTCCAACGAGTCTTTGCATGTCCGGGAAATGGTCCCCTCCTCACCGTCTCGACTCAATCCATTCGCCTTCGGCTTTCGGATCTCGCAGAGAGTTTTCAATTACGAGACATGACTCGTATGGTCTTTATTTGGGTCTAGATTTTATTCAATTATTTTGGAATGAGAGAGAAAAGAATGAGAAGCATATGAATATTATGAAAAATGCCTCATTGTATTGATGAAAAGAGAAATATATACAGAGTCCCTTTAATCAAAAGATCTCGTGGCCACGGGCGAGAGACCGCGAGAGATGCATCGGAAGCTTTTGAAATATTTTTTATTATATATTTTTGTATTTATTTTTATTAGATGACAAAAATGATGAGCCCTAAATTGTTGATCTTCCTTAGCCCATCCTTCATTCGGGTTTGGAAAGAGGCTGATCATCTACTTTTGGAGTAGATGTGATGAGTCCCCTAAGTTGCCCTGGAGGCGGGAGAGGTCATTCCTAGGAGGATTACTAGAAGCATGACTAGAAGGGAGGCCTCCTCTTTACCTTCCATTTTGAATTTACTTAGTATCTTTACTTAGTATTTTCTTTTTCTAAGTTTTTCACTTATTTTCGCTTTCTTTTTGTAGGCTCACTTTTTGCACCTCCTTTTTGAAGAATACCACCTTTTTTTGGTGGAAAAGAAGCCTTGGATCCATAGGA